ATTATCCTCACATTTAAGTGGGAACAGAACCCAGGAGGCTGGGTGTAAAATCCCTTGTTCTAATCACTTGTCCTAACTTCTTTATTAATTCAAATAAATGTTTACCTTTTTTGACACTTGTGTATCTTTAGAGACAAAGTGTAAAAAAACCAGTGGAATTAAAATGTTTTTAGTGAGATTCATGTCTTTGAAGTTTAAATCTTCAGTATCAATAAAATAGTAAGTGTTAAATACTGTAGCAAGAAAGACACTTATCTGTTATATTGTTTTTCTCCAGGATCCCCTCTGATCTTCTCCCTAAATGCCCCATTTTGTGTTAGTTGCCATCCCAGTCAAAAAGGAAGCAGCTCCAAGTTTTCAAACTGTGGTGAAACATATTAAAAATTGTAGCCTTGGTTGTTTGCAAGACAGCAGATCTTAAAACATCTCTTCAAATCTTTACTTGTTCATTTGTTTGTAACAAGTACTAATAACTGGGTAAAATATCATTAGAGCACTGATAATCAGACTGAGGCTTGCGAACCACAAGTGACTATTTAATGTGTCTCCAGTGGCTCTTTGCAGCACATAATGTTAAAACACTGTGTGATTTAATTATTAACCAGTCTGAGTTATTAACCAGTCAGGATGCTTTTACTATGTTTATTAACCAATTGTAGCTGATAAAATAATAATACTTGGCCAGTCATTTTGCTGTGAGAATAATATATAAAAACTAAATATTTTCCCTATTATACTGTTTAAATATTACTATATAGTAAATGAAACAATGAATTCACAGTACTGTGGCTCTTTTGAGTAACATTGATTGCTAATTTGGCTCCTGAACCACTGCATTAGAGTTTTCATCATTATGGGAAGGATCAGCAAGTAGATCTTATACGTGGGCTAGTAATTTTTCAGATGCTTTTGCAAAACTGCCTATGCTGGTCCCTAAATATCCTTTGGCTGACTTAAGATAATATTAAAAGCGAGATAATAGTATTGTTCGCTAACCAGGAAACTGTTGGAACTTCTGTGACTTTTATTATTTTGAATAGAAAACATAAGAATGGCATTACTGGGTCAGACCAAGGGTCCATCTAGCCCAGTATCCTGTCTTCTGCCAGCCAGATGTTTCAGGGGGAATGAACAGAACAGGACAATTATCGAGTGATCCATCCCCTGCCATCCAGTCCCAGCATCTGGCAGTCAGAGGCTTAGCCATCTTGGCTAATAGCCATTGATTGACCTACCCCCATGAATTTATCCAATTATACTTTTGGCATTCACAATATCTCCTGGCAAAGAGTTCCACTGATTGACTGGGATTTGTATGAAGTACTTCCTTTTGTTTATTTTAAACCTGCTCCCTATTGAACCAGGGTTCACCAAATGAAATTTTGTGTTACATGAAGGGATAAATAACACTTACTTTCTCCACACCATTCATGATTTTATAGGCTTTTGTCCTATCCCATCTTAGTCTTCTCTTTTCCAAGCTGAACAGTCCTAGTCTTTTTAATCTTTCTTCATGTGGAAGCTGATCCATGCCCCGATTTTTTTTTAACCCTTCTCTGTACCTTTTCCAATTCTAATATATTTTTTGAGATGGAACAACCAGAATTGCACCCGGTATTCAAGGTGTGGGCATACCATGGATTTATATGATATTTACTGTCTTATCTTCTATCCCTTTCCTAATTTTCTATAATAGATTTAAGGACTGCTTCAGGATTTTTCCCAAATCCTAAAGGCTGATGACATGTTCATGCCCTGATATTCTATTTACAGTATTTAAATGAAAACCCCTTCATGCCTATCCATCTAATACCAAACTAAAGCAACGTTCTTTACTTTGATCTCCATGGCAGATATTCAAGATACCACTATTGTCAATGGGAACTCTCATGTACTGAGAGCAAATGTCAAACCATCTTTTGTTCAGCTTTGAGAGGAGACTTTTGTCCTGTAATTTAAGCTCCAATTTTAGGTTGGTTTCCCCCCCCCCCTCCTGTTTCCACGTTTTTCCTCTGTTGTATGTGTTGAGACAGTTTGACAGATTATCCCCAGCCTTTCCCAGATCTTAGATTGGGAACTGGGCTACTTTAAAAGAAAATAAGAATTAAGAAGTTTATTAGCAGTTTCATTATTTATTAAAAGACCTGTCTGTTTTCGTCTCCAGTATATCTGATACCATACCCATATTTTGTCCTTGTTGATCACTGTGACCACCTCATTGAATCCTTCCTGAGCTTCCCCTGTTACATTGCATCAAGTTCTTGTTCTCAATTTAAAGACCGTTCACAACTCTTCCTCTTCCTACTTGTCCTCTTTGATCTTTTTTTATATTGCTTACACCCCACGTACCGAGTCAGAGATACCAGCCTCACATGCTGGAGTGTCAGGTTCTCACAGGTATGCCTCTGTACCTTTTTCCATGCTGCCTTTTATGCATCAGAGCTTAAATACTGCAAGAGGGTTCACCTACACGGAGCCATACTGACTCAGTGGGGTTTTCTGTGGTTAGAGGGGTCCACCCGTATAGTAGGGTTGCCAATTTTTGAATTGCACAAAACCGAACACCCTTGCCCCGCACCCCACTCACTCTAACCCCCCTCCCTCCATTGCTCACTCTTTCCCACCCTCACTTACTTTCACTGTGCTGGGGCATGGGATTGGATTGCGGGAGAGGGTGAGGGCTCCAGCTGGGGGTGCAGGCTCTGGGGTAGGGCCAGAAATGAGGGGTTCAGGGTGTAGGAGGGGTTTCTGGGCTGGAGGTTAGGGTGCGGGATGGGATACAGGCTCTGGGAGGGAGTTTGGGTGTGGGAGAGGGTTTTGATCTGGGGCAGGGGGTTGGGGTCTGGGGTCTGGGAGGGAGTTTGGCTGTGGGACGGAGCTCAGGGCTGGGGCAGGCGGGTTGGGGTATGTGTGTGGTGGGGGGGGAAGGGCTCAAGGGGGGTTCTGACCTGGGGCAGATGGTTGGGGTGTGGGTGTGGGAGGGGGTTTAGGGTTGAGGTATGGGGTTGGGGTGCGGGGGGGTGTTTGGGGTGCGGGCTCAAGGAGGGGGTTCCAATCTGGGGATATGGGGTTGGGGTGCAGGAGAGGGTTCAGGGTGTGGACTCCGGCTGGGCAGCACTTACCTTAGGTGGCTTCCGGTTGGTGACGCAGCAGGGCTAAGGCAGGCTCCCTGCCTGCCCTGGCTCCATGCCGCTCCTGGAAGCAGCTGGCATGTTCAGCCCCTAGGCGGAGGCGCGCTGCCTGCCCCTGCAGCTCCCATTGACCATGGTTTCTGCCCAATGGGAGCTGCAGAGCTGGCGCTGGGGGCGGGGACAGCACTTCTCTGATCATACTTGCGCCTAGGGCCCGGAGGGACATGCCAGCTGCTTCCAGGGAGCCACTCAGAGCTGGGCAGGGAGCCTGCCTTATCTCCGCTGCGCCCTCGACAGGACTTTTAATGGCCCTGAGCCACCAGGGTCCCCTTTCGACCAGCACCGGTCGCCTGGCAACCTTACCATATGGAGCAGTTTGCAGGGTTGAGGCCTAAATG